TTTTCGCACCCTTGGTAAGCAAGGGGAGAGCGTGAAAACGCTGCTGGAACAGCCGAAATGGCTGTGCGCAGCGTTTTCGCGCTCTCCTCTCGCATACCAAGGGTGCGAAAATGCTGCACCCGGCCCTTTCAGCTGTTCCGGCGGCCATTTTGAAGCCGCGGAACAGCTGATCGCAGCCATTTTCGTGCCCTCGTTCAGCGAGGGGAGGGCGCGAAAATGTCTGCCGGACCCCGGAAGCATCGCTGAACGGTGAGTTTTCAGCCGATTTGGAACAGCCGATTTTCTGCCCCGCTCAGCGATGTTTTACACAGCGAGGATTAATCCGGGACGGATTAACCTCGCTGTGCGAGGCACCACTGTATCTATTTTATATTGATTTGGTTTTACTTGTCTTTGACCGTAATAAAGTATTCATTCATTCATTCTTTCATTCATTTAACTTCAGATGAACAGTAACACATGACATATTACACTGTGTCATGATATATTTTTGAAAAATCAAGCCAAAATGGAGAATCCATGTGTGAAAAACTAAGTACACCCTTACTGCTTCCATAGCAATTAAGAGGCTAAGTAGCAGCCAGGTGCTGCTAACCAAATGCCCTGCCACCTTTAGTATCAGTAACTTGAAGTAATCATTTTTTGTCTCTCATATCATTCTGGAGGAATTGTGGCCCACTCTTCTTAACAACATTGCTTCAGTTCATTGAGGTTTGTGGGCATTTGTTTATACATAGCTCTCTTAAGGTCCCACCGCAGCATTTCAATCAGGTTGAGGTCTGGAGTTGGACTGGGCCATTGCAGCATCTTGATTCTTTTCTTTTTCAGCCATATTGTTGTACATTTGCTGGTGTGCTTGGGATCATTGTCCTGTTGCATGATCCAGTTTTGGCCAAGCTTTAGCTGACGGACAAATGGCCTCATGTTTGACTCTAGAATACACAGAGAAGTTAATGGTCAACTCAATGACTGCAAGGGGTCCAGGTTCTATGGTTGCAACACAAGCCCAAATCATTACCCCTCCACCACTGTGCTTGACAGTTGGTATGAGGTGTTTGTGCTGATATGCTGTGTTTGGTTTTTGCCAAACATTGTTCTGTGCATTAGGGCCAGACATTTCCACTTGGGACTTGTCTGTCCAAAGGACGTTATTCCAGAAGTCTTGCTGCCAGGAGAAGCTTTCTCGTGGCAGCCCTTGCAAACCAACCATACTTGTCTGCCAGGAGAAGCTTTCTCCTGGCAGCCCTTGCAAACCAACCATACTTGTTCAGTCTTTTTTCTAATTGTACTGGCATTATAATTAGAAAAAGACTAGTTGTAAAATGCTGAGACCTGTATAGTGTGAGATGTAACTCTTAGGATTTTTATGCATTTTCTCTGAGCATTACATGATCTGACCTTGATGTAAATTTGCTTGGACGTCCACTCCTGGAAAGACTGGCAAACGTCTTGAATGTTTTCCACTTGTGACTTATCTTCCTTATGATAGTATGATTGACTTTAAATTGTTTGGAAATGGTTTTATTACCCTTCCCAGATGGATGGGCAGCAAGAATTCTCTTTGATTGTTGTTGATGTTCCTCCTTGGCATTGTATTAACAGATACCTGAATGATCTAGACTAGCAAACTGCTAAAATTTTGGCTTTTATACAGGTGGACACAGTGGCTGATGATCAATTACTCAAGGGGATTTGGTTAGCAGCACTTAGCTGATTCTTAGCCTCTTAAATTCTATGGAAGCAGTAAAGGTGTACAGTACTTAGTTTTTCATACATGGCTACTCCATTTTGGCTTTATTTTTGTAAAATAAATCTGACATGGTGTAATATGTCATGTGTTGTTGTTCATCTGAGGTTGTATTTAACTAATTTTCAGACCTGCTAAAGGTCAGATGATTTTTATTATGTCCTGATATGTAAAACCTTAGGATTCAAAGAGGACATATGTTCTTTTTCACATTACTGTACCTTTCTGTGGCTGCTTATGTTCCTGGAATCTTCTCTTCATGAATAGTGACTTAATAACTTATTTTTAATTTTCAGAAAGAAAAACTGCTTGGAGTCCTAGATATATTAGGTGAAACAATTTCATACCACAGAAGTAATACAGGTTCAGAGCAGTCTACACTCATAATAGTGCACCACAGAATGGCCTTTCTTAGTGTTTCACTTTTTACAGTTCGACTACTACAAATTCTTCTTCCTGTAGAAAAGGTGATGTATGCACTTTGCTTGCACATGAAATGGTACTGGGGGGGATCCTATTAGCGTAATGCATGCCTGTCTTCTTTAAAATTAAAATCTTTCAGTTAATCAGAGAAGGAAAAGAGGAGTCTTGTATAGAAATAAAATAAAATAATATTTTTTTAAAGGATGAAATAGAGTGGAGGGTGAATAGAGATGTTTGAGGCAACATGGAATAAAGAAGAAACACTTGAGGGATAGTGCTTGAACTACCCTGTTTCCTCTCAGAGTGATAAATAACCAGCTCAAATAGGTTTGAAAAGGGCAAATCATGTATCTGTGGTTATGTGAAGAGTTTTTCTTTTTCTTTTTGCATGTTGGAGCATCAGACACCTAGTCATCCCAATTATGCACATTTATAACTTGGTGTTGTGTTCCAAATAATGGGATTATAGATGAATAAAACATTCCCATATTTAAGGTACTATGATGTTTCCAGCACTTTGTCCTACATTTTATGAAGAGGGGCTCTGTGTCCTCTGTACATCTTGAAGAGATAACAATTTCCACTGGAGTTTCTGTTCTGTCCCATAAGTCTGGAATATTTTCTTCCATTGGATAAAATGTGTCTTCAGCTATCTGGAGGACTTTTTCATAGATGTGTGTTCTGTGGCTTATCACTTAGGCCAAATGGGGCATTCTCATACCTTATTCCACTCTGCTGAGAGTTAATAGTCAGTTTGTCTGAGAACTACTGTCACATACAAGCCATTGATCTGTTTAGACCCAGTAAGCTCACTATACAATAAAGTTTGGGAACATTAGGACAGCTAGTGTAGACTTTGTTTTTGATGCAGATTATGCAGGTGACTAGGATGAAAGAAATTATACCAAGCTACCCTGTTTCCCTGAAATTAAGACCTAACCTGAAAATAAGCCCTAGTACGATTTTTCAGGATGCTCATAATATAAGCCCTACCCCCAAAATGAGCCCCAGTTAAATGAAACCCTGCCCCCACCATTGCTCAGCAACCAGAAGAAGATGACATGACTGTATTTGAATAAAGTACATGAAAAAAATGCCGTACATGAAAAAAATAAAACATCCCCTGAAACTGAGCCCTAATGCATTTTTGGAGCAAAAATTAATATAAGACCTTGTCTTATTTTCAGGGAAACAGGGTAGGTTTTCAAGCAGGAGAGTTTTTGTATCATCATTGCAGTCAACTAGTTCATGAGTTATGGTGATCCTTTCCAGGATTTTCTAGATATCAGTGTTAATAATAATGATGTACCATCAAGTGAATTCTGACTTATGGTGACCCTTTCCAGATTTTTCTAGGAATAGAGCACCCAGAAGTTTACCTTTCCTTTCTTCTGGGGGTACCCCAGGCCTATACAGCTTTTCTTCAGTCTCAGGCTCTGCGGCAGATACCTAATTCACTGAGCTATCAAGTCAACTTTTTCTTGATACAGAAATTGTTTTATCCTTTTCTGCTGGGGATATTTTGGTATTTTATAGCTTGCTTAAGACTGCATGTCTGCCTCTTTCTCCTAGGAGGCACAGTGGGGAATTGAACTCCCAACCTCTGGCTCACAGCCAGATACTGGACTCATTGAGCTATCCAGGCAGCTTTTCTATTATAAACAGTTAACTAAATATACAGTTGCTGGCTGGATAGTTCAGTGATTTAGGTTTCTGGCTGCAGAGTCAGAGATAGAAAGTTCAGTTCTCACTGGTCATCCGAAAGGAGACAGCTTGTGTGGCCTTGGGCAAGCTGATAGAAAATTCAGTTCTCACTGGGCATCCGAAAGGAGACAGCTTGTGTGGCTTTGGGCAAGCTGCACAGTCCCAGGATGCCATCAGAAGAACAGAATGTTACTCTCTATCTAGAAAACACTGTAAGTTAATGCCTTGATGGGACACAATTTTTATTAAACACTGTATACAGTTCTAGATTAAGTGTGCACTCTGCCATCTGGTGGTTAAAAAAGACCTTTACAGTTGAATTTACTGTATATTTACTGTACTTATCTGTAGAGTCTGTGCTGTATGATGCATACCTCATACAGAGATTAGTTCCAGCTGTGTTTTTTTTCTGCAATTGAATGGGTAGTCTTTCCTCTGAATTGCATAGCTTGGTGGTGGGAAGTGACATTAGATATTTAGCTAATGGGTGTTGGTGTGACTGCAAAAGCACAACAGAGAGATCAGGTTCTACATAACCTGTTCCAAATAATTGTCTCTAGTGTGGGAGTTTTAGTTCTCACAGTCATCCTTGTTCCCAAGTATATAATTTGTATTCCTTGCAAAATATAAAAATAACTGAAAAGAGCACAAATTAGTTAAAAGCACTTCTGTGAAATAACCATACAACCTATTCTATAGTAAAAGTAATACTAATGATAAATAATGCATATGCAGTAGTTTTTTAAAAAAAATAGATCTAGAAATGCCTGGTCCAGAACAAATACCTGAAACAAGATGTTCTTATTTTCCAAATGTTGTACTGTTGCAGGGAGTAGTATATGGCTCAATCATTAGAGTAACATTATGGAAAATGTGTTATTTTTAAGTATCTCTAGAAGAGGGAGAACTTGGAAGGCTCAGATTGATGGTCTGTGGGTGTACCTATCAGTTTGAATAATGAAACACAAGTGCAAATCAGTTTCATAGCCTTTTGAGGCAATTGTAGACATTAATACCATTGATAAAAATTCACAATTCATACCTAGTAGTCATGCTAAGAAAATATACTTAGACTTTCTTTTAAAATCTTTTCTTCTCAAGGCTAGTAACATTTTGCCAGAGAGCTTACTGATTGCCCTATTTGAACTTTCTGTGGACATGCCTTTCTCCTTGGAATATCCAAATATTCATGAATCTGTCATAGCTTATTTGGAGCAGATGAATTCAGAAAGCTACAATATTTATAAACAAGCTGCAGAAATTGCCTATTCAATTGAGTGCACCTGTAATTTTATGATGGATGTTCGCAAGGAGGTAAGAATAATTGCCTGGGTATATTCAGTTTTTAAAATGTGTAAGTGTAAAGTGCATAGGACATCTATATACTTGTGCATGTATTTAAAGAATGAAAGAGGAAGATGACTTGTGTAACAGGTTTCCTGCAGTATTTGAACAAAATGGTGACAGGTTGTGTTTGCTTTTCTAAGTCCTGCTCTCTATTGCTAGTGAAGTTCTATATTTTGGGATAGGCATGTGAATTTAGTTTGTGTGTGTAGAGGGGAATAATATGATTATTCTGTGAATTTCTTCTTCCAGGCATTAGAGTGCCCAGGTTGTTTCAGTTACTATTCAACGGTAGTTGTCCCTTTCATAATAGAATTAGTTTGTAAGAGGTAACAAGCATATATAATGATAATGGCCATTGATATTTATGGACATGTTGGTTTGTGGTTAGTTACAAGTTATGCTACTATCACTCTGAAACACATTGTTTCCTCAATTTTTTTGTCTATATGGAAAGGAGCCCTCAGTCATTGCTCAGGAATGAACTGAAAAGTTCTTGTAGTTGTTTTCACATAGATCTGATCCAGGAGTGGTCCGACATTGCTCTGCAGTGACTTGGATTGCATGAGGTGGAGCTCATTGGGAGTGTTTCAGAGCATTTGCAGTGGTGCCTCGCTTAATGAGTGCCCCATTTAACGATGAATCCGCATAGCGATTGAGTTTTTGCAATCGCAAAAGCAACCGCATTGTGATGTTTTAAATGGGGGGAAATCGGTTTGCGATGATCGTGGGGAAGCGCTTCACCACGATCATCCCAAAGGCCCCGCCAATCAGCTGTGTTGCGAGGGGTGGAGAGAGAGAGCCCCTTGCAGGTTGGAGCTGCAAGGGGTGGAGAGAGAGCGAGAGAGCGCACCGAAGCACAGCTGATCAGCGGGGGGTTGCGAAGCTGGCTTCCCCGCGATCTTTGCAACCCCCTGCTGATCAGCTGTGCTTCGGGGCTCTCTCTCTCCCCTTGCAGCTCCAGCCTGGGCTGCCCAGGCTGGAGTTGTGAGGGGAGAGCGAGCCAGCCCGAAGCAAAGCTGATCGGCGGGGGTTTGCAAAGATCACGGGTGCTCTCTCTCTCCCCTCGCAGCTCCAGCCTGGGCAGGGAGACTGAGGCACCGCACCGCCACCCTGGCTGTGGCGGCGCGGTGCCTCACAGGGAAGCGCTCCTCCGGGATCATCCCAAAGGCCCCATTTTTGCACAGCTCATCGGCGGTTCCAAAATGGCTGCCTGCTGTGTTGCCTCGCTTTAGAGGCACCGAAAATGGCAGCTGGATGGAGGATTTTTGCTTAAAGGTGAGTTTCCCCCCATAGGAATGCATTAAACGTGTTTTAATGCGTTCCTGTGGGGTTTTTTGCCCCTCATAGCAACAAATCCATATAGGGACGATTTTTTTGGAACGGATTATCGTCGCTATGCGAGGCACCACTGTACCATGATAGGTTGACAGCAACACAAATCATTTTACTGCCTGAATGAATGGCACCAGTTTGGCATATGAGGCAAAAATTCCATGAGCTCCCTTCTTCGTTCCTGGCAGCAGGGTGGATTTGATTTAAATAAAATTGATTTTAAAAAATCATTGATTTTTATCCACCCTGCCTGGCAGTAAAACAGATTATCAACAAATTAAATAGTTAATAGTCTTTATACTTTAACAATACTCTTGTTCTCTTGCCTGAGATAGCTGTTTCACTATACTAAATGGTAGGGGCAACGATCCCTGTAAGCTGTGCAGCCGTGCACCCGCGGCCAGTGTTGCCGCCCAGATGATTCTGGTTGTGGCTGGAAACCACCACCAACACCCCTGCACTGGCAGAAAATTAGAGGGAACATTGAGTAGGGCCATTCCTGTATGTGACAGTATATCCTTACTCTTATCATTGCTGAAGTTGCATTGCAATGCGGGAAGGCCTCTCCGTGTTCATACTACTCTTGTTCTCTCTCACTAGCAGGTTTCACACATGCTGTTTAATTTAAGGATTGTATATGATGGTTATTAGGTCTAATGTCTTCCTGAACATTGGTGTTATTTTTGAGTTATTGTTAGTGGTTACTTCTGTTGTGATTCATGAATGACTTGTACAGTGGTGCTTCGCTTAACGATTACCTCGTTAAATGTTGAATCCGCTTTACAATGGTTCCTATGGGGAAAATTCGCTTCATGACGATCAGTTCCCTGCTTCGGGAACCGATTCTTCGCATTACGACGATGTAAAAACAGTTGATCGTCGGGTTTCAAAATGGCTACCCGCTGTGCAAAAAGGCTCCCCACTGTGTTAAGGACGGATTCCTCGCTATACAGGCACCAGAAAATGATCGCCCTATGGAGGATCTTCACTGCACAATGAGGTATTTCGCCCATTGAAACGCATTGAACGGTTTTCAATGTGTTTCAGTGGGTTTTTTAATTTCGTTTAACAGCGATTTTAATGGAACGCATTAACGATGTGAAGCGAGGCACCACTGTATTGAATAATCAGTCATATGACTGAAAAACCATTCCATGATTACTAACTTTTAAGTGACTCTTGCAGATTTTTTTTTAAATTACAGATATTCAGTATAACCATGTATCCTCATTCTTTAAGGGGGAAAAGAGTTTTGTTGATTTATTGGAGCTAGCAGAGCAGGCATTAAAAAGTCTTCCATATCATCAGTACTTTGCTCTACTTCAGGAGTTAATCAATCTTTGCTCAGATATGTAAGTATATGACAATTTGCATTGGTCATGAAAGTTACTTGCCAGAATTGTGATGCTAGGAAAAGATCACAGCTCCCAGAATTCCCCAGCCAGCATGGCCAATGGCCTTATTGACTGGGAAGTATGGGGAGGTATTCTAATATATTTTTTTCCGAGATCTGTTGGAGATAGAGAATGAGACTGTTCACTATATTTAAGTTATTTTGTCTGAATTAATATATTGATTGAACCTTGCTATATGATTTTTGATTTGCTGATGTGGCCATATTCATATAATGTCAGAGAGATACATGATGATTTCCAGAATAGTATGTCAATAAACAAAACAGAATAGCCTCCTGCTCTGAAGTCCTTACAGTCCCAGTGTTAACGCTGAGGGAGAAAACAGGTGGAATAGACACTGAAGAGTAGTGTAGTGTATATACACAGAAGCATGTTTCTTAAGAAGAAATGCCAGTGGATCTTACCTTCTGATAAGTAAGCTTAGCATATCAGCTTTGCCAGTGACAGCTTAACTATAAACTAAATAATGACAAAAATTAGCAAATGACTGAATTAGTTATAAGCCCTCCAGTGCCTTGGCTAGAAAGAATCTGCATCCCAAGGCTTAAAGAATTGGCTGCCCATGTCTTAAAGCAATTACTTTGCATTCTCTATTGAGTTATTTCTGTTTGTAGCTGGAAGTCTGCCCATGCTAGCCCATTGCTGCAGGCTGAGAGTCAGAAGGTGCTTCTCCATCTGTTGTCCCATCCGCTGTCAAATGTAAGAACTGAAGCCTACCGCTGCTGCCTCAAAACTATTAAGGTTAGCATCTTAAAAAGCTCATAGCTTCTTTTAGTTTTCTTTTTAAACCAGCTTACCTTCTGTTCCACTCAATAACAGCACAGAAATGCATATAGAACAATCTGTTTGAAAAGATGTTTTAATAGCAGTGGGCTACAAAATGGAATGGTTTCTTTTGCAAACTGAAGCTTGTTTGGTATGAATTTTGCCTGTGTGTTTTTAGGTCCTGCTGAGTTTCTGGGAGAAGAGATGTCTGTATAATTTCTTTGGCTGTGCATGCCGTCTTTCTGCTGAAACATAGTTTACTCTAGTGTCATTTAATGTATATGAACTGCTGGATAGCTCAGTGGTTTAGGTAACTGGCTGTGGAGTAAGAGGTTGGGAGTTCGATTCCCCACTGTGCCTTCTTAACAGGGGCTGGACTCAATGATCCAGAGGGCCCCTTCCAGCTCTGCTGTTCTAAGGTTATTATAAAAACCTGCTCATTTAAGGCAGTTAAAGAAGGCCTGCAGCACAACCCATAATACTCGTTTCTAGTTGATGTTGCTTTTATGTGTCATGTGGCAATCCTATGAATTAACAAAAGGTCCTGTCATTAAAAGCCTTGCTCAGGACTTGCAAACTAAAGGCTGTGGCTTCTTTTATTGAGTCAGTTCATCTCATGTTAGGTCTTTTTCTTTTCCAGCTGGCTTCACCTCTTCATTATTGTCTTGGTGAATCAAACCTTCTCATGATATAGTAATAGTACAATAGCTTTGTGAGATATTTCAGATCTAGTAGCCACTTATTTTATTTTCTGGTTGTCCATGCATCTGTGAAGTTCCTGTGCAGCACCATGTTTCAAATGAATCAATGTTTCTCCTGTTTGCTTTCTTCGTTGTCAGCTCTCACGTCCATACATTGTAATAAAGGATACCATTTTATGGATGATCATCTTTATTTATTTATTTAAAATTGCTTTACTCCACCTCTCTTGTTAAAAAGGACCCAAAGTAATTTACATCTTTAAAAGACAAAATTTAAAAACTAAAAACAGCAATTATTCAAATATTTTAAAAGAATCAAACAAATGCCTTTCTTCATTGTCAGCTCTCACGTCCATACATTGTATTAATGCCACCAAACAAATGCCACCAAAAATGGTAAACAAATTCAGCACCAAAACCCCATTCAGAATAATAAGGCACAGCACTGCATTTTAAAACCCCTTGGTCTCCAGCATTAAACCTAAGGAACATTTCTGTTTCTTTCATAGCTCCCAAGTCTTCATCTTTTGATTTCTTGGTTGTAGTCTCCATTTGGTTTGATGAATATTACCTTTTTGGACATAGATTGAGGGTTGCATTAGGGGGCATGAAATCATTACCTCTGTTGTTGTCAGGATCAGTGATTCTCAACTTTTTGTATCTTATGTGTTACAAAATACTGCATTGATTTGTGGTAGGTAAGGTTGGAAGGAGTCAGCATATCATGTCTGAAGATGTAGCCTTTGAGGAAGAGTTAATTCCATTTCTTTGGAAACACTCATCATTATTAACTACTTCTGTGTGACCATGGGTTTTGTCCCACTGGTTGAGAACTACTGATCAATGCAACTGTCTTATGTCTTTTTTTTTCCTTCTAGGAATGCTTAGGAATTCATAATATCACTGCACCCGTTTCTTCAGCCAGCCACAGAGTCCATTTCTTGCTTCATTCCAAAGTTCTCTATGAAATCTGTAGTTTTGGTCTTCAGGACTCCCAGCATGAGGTACAGTGTGCTGTCTGTTAGATCTGTGTGTTAATCTGAAGATTAAAAAGGATTACATACACCATGAGCTGCATAGTTTTCAATCCCAAGTTAATGTATTTTATTGCCATTTGCTGCTTTGTGACACATCTAGTCTTGTATGCTTGCATCTTGAACATCATTACTGAGAAGTAAGCCTCACTGACTTCCTTGGAACTATATCTGTTTAAGAATACATAAGATTGCATCAAATTTTATCTTGGAATGTTTAAATAGATGACAATATAATGAAACATTTCCAGGGATAAAAAATGGTTAATTCACAAGGGAAAGTATTTTTTTTCTTCCCCACTCCTCTGTTTCACAGATTAGGTTGCTATAGAACAGTGGTTCCCAGCCTTTGGTAACCCAGGGGTTCTTGGACTGTAACTCCCCAAAACCCTGGCCAACACAGCCAGCTGGTGGTGAAGGCTTCTGGGAATTGCAGTTCAAGAACACCTGGGTTATGCAAGGCTGGGAATTACTGATAATGAAGGACCTGAAAAAATGGTCTTACTGGAAAATCTTGAATTGTTTTTTTATTTTATTTCCTATGGATAGAAATAATTTTAATGTTAACATATATCTATGCCCTTTGTCCTTTTAGAGATTACTTTTTTGGCAACTTTTACTTGCAAGGCTGGGAATTACTGATAATGAAGGACCTGAAAAAATGGTCTTACTGGAAAATCTTGAATTGTTTTTTTATTTTATTTCCTATGGATAGAAATAATTTTAATGTTAACATATATCTATGCCCTAGAGATTACTTTTTTGGCAACTTTTACTTTAATGCAGGACTGTTTAAATGTTAACATTGAATGTTATCAGCAATACTGTTTTCATTCAGTAAGAGAGTAGGTGTTAATAGTGGTGGGACTTCATCTTAAACATGAATTTTAAGAAAGCTCCCTTTTTTGGTTTTGTGTGTTTTGTTGATTTCCGAAGAAGATCCTGTTAAACATGTATAATTCGTTTAAATGAAAGACAGAACACAATAGAGCCCTTTCCTTTCCTTCCCTCCTTCTTTCCTTTCTTCCTTGTTTCCCTCTTTCATTTACCCTTTCTTTCACCTTTGTCAAATGACCTGGGAAATTAACCAGGAGATATTTTGTCTAATAATGTGGCACGGGCTGCTATCACAGCCAGTCAGAACATCCAGAAGTAGGGGACCAGAAATTATATTATTCCAAAGAGCCTGGATTGGTTGAAACCCAGTGATGGAAATACTTTGCTTTACTTCTTGTGGGAGCCCCTGTGTTAGCTAGCTTCTGGTGCCCTCTATGTTGTCTTGTAGTGTATGTTCCTGCTTGTCAAGCTTTTCAACTTAGGAGATAAAGCATCAGTAGTAGTGGGGAGAGAAATCTCTGGATATTTTAGTTGTTTTATTTGTGAAGTGACTATATTTTTTGCCTTTATTTCCTTGCTTGCTTTTATTCATTTTTGGGAGAGGGGGGTGTATTCTGTTTTGCTTTAAATGTTTATATAATTTTTCCTCTGTGTTGGGGTAGCTTTCCCCTTTACATTTATTTTCAAAAATTGTTATTTGGCTGTTAATTTACTGGTTATTTGTTCTATTAAATGTGTACATTTTGGTATACTTTTGGTGATCTTTCCCATGTGTCGTTGCCAATTTTTAGAGTAGTTCACTTAACTTGCCTCTTTTTTTAGAGTAGTTTTAAAATGGTTCTTCATCGTTTTTGCATTGGCTCTTTGTTGCCTGCCTTGCTCCTGATTTTTTGGAGTAGTTTGTAAGGGTTCTTTAGGGCTTTTGGATGAATGCCAAAGAGAACTGGAATGGGTTAAAATAAAATGAAGAAACCGGAATGTTGCTTTCTTTAATGTTTATTGAAAGAACAGGTATATGGAAGACAAAAAAATTAAAGAGGCACCCCCCTGAAAGAACCCAAAACAAAACAACTCAAATGTTTTTGCCACATGCATCTCTATGTGTGGTTCTATAGCAACTGTTCCGGGAGCAAGGTGACTTAGTAAAAGGGGGAATGCAGAGGTGCTATATACAATTGGGAACTTTTGCTTAGCCCAACTGCTGCTTAGGCTACATGCTAGGTATTGACTCATCTTCCTTAAAATTGATTTTTGTATTGCATTTGTCATAAGACGCTTTGCAAGAATATTTTAAAAATCATTATAAAACAATATTAAGGAGAGTAATTATAAAATAATAAAGTCTTATTGAAAGTAGAAAAAACTAGATTAAAATATTTAAATAACATAATTGTTACTGATTCAGAAGAAAGTATAAGCACTAGTTACTCCCTTAGAGTAACTGAATTCCATTTTAAAATCGAATGTTCTTGTTGTTACTTTCTTCTACAAGGGCACTTAGAGCAGCAATCCCCAACCTTTTTGGAACCACAGACTGGTTGGAGGGGCAGGCTCCATGCATGGGGGTGGGGGCACCCCCGCAAGCACAACACACACACACCACAAGTGCAACATGCCCCCCCCCATAAGCACAACACACCCGAAGGCGGGAGTGGAGATCCATCTCCATGGCCCAGTCCTGGGAAGCCCACGGACCATCACCGGGCTGCGGACCGGGGGTTGAGGGCCCCTGACATAGAGCACAGCATCAGCGCTTAAGATAGGACAGAGGCTATGAGCCTTTGAAGATTGTACCAATCCTATCTTATTTTCTGAGGCCCTCTGCAGCAAGTTTTAAACTCTTTTCAAGCTCACTTATGTTAATGAGTAGTACCAATCTCAAAGCTAAAATTTGTCATGATTGTAGATCACTGCAGTCCTTTCTTGTTTTTAAAATGCGTAAACTATTTGGTGTAAAGTTTCAAGGCACAGTCTAATTTCCCTTTCTGACTCCTACAAATTGGTTTGGCTACCCTTCGTTGCACTATTTGTTTATTCCACTGTTGCCTTCTCTCATTAAAACAGGTATGCTCGTCTGCCACATTTATACTGATGTATCTTCTTCAGGGCCGATTAATGATGGCAGCAGTGACCTGGAACAAGCTCCTTGAGGCCCTCTATCCTGTTGTTCCAGTCCTTCAGGTAATCTTAGCATCTTGTAGTGCAGTTTGTCTTCGTGCAAGCTTAATTGGTTTGCCAATAGGGAAAAATATATAAACGTGGTAACCAGGCAAATAAAAAACAGAGGCATGATCTTGTTTGTTGAATGTTCTGGAGATATATAGGAAACATTCATTCCCAGTGGTTTAGCTGACATTTTTCTGAACCATATCAGGCAATTCATAGCCATCCAAAATTGTTGCTGATCATAGTTCAGGGAACAAGTCCTAGTTTCTTCTTGTCTGTACCTCAGCATAATATGCCTTAGAATCATTGCTTAAGCCTTGTCGATTTGAAATTCCTACCAATTTGTGATTATTATAACAGATGGAACCAAATGTATTGGGTTGTTTCCATTAGTCCTTGAAACATGGGTTTTAGCAAATGTTTTGCAAGTATTCACGGGCAATGATAGTGTTGTGCAGTAAGGGAGGATTGCCGGGGGAATGGAACTATATCACTTTCTACATTGCTTCTTGAAGTAATGATTGGGGATACAGTGGCTTTGTGCCAGTATGATAAATGTGAAAAAGCTCATTAAGATGCAAAATGATTGTGTATTGTATCAATTATGGTAGAATAAACAGTTTTTAAAGAACACTGTTGAGATAACTACTGTAGCAAATTACTTTTCCTTTCCAAAATTGGATTCCACTTGTTCATAGGTATGTGTGAACACAAAGAGCCACACATCTATTTAGTTTTGTGAATGATCAGTGACTTCAGCTTACTGTTACCAAGAAAAGTATTTCAGTGCATGATGCTTGTTTCCCTTTAATAGTCTATGCTAATTTTGAAATAATATTCACTTAGGGTTATGCAGACACAGAAGAACCTCTTGGGAATTGTATCCTCACACTAAGTGAAACAACTGCAGAAAAAGAAGGGATTCTTCCAAGAACAACTAGACTTAGGGCTGCCTTGCGTCTTCTATTCTCAAAAAAGCCATTGTGAGTGAATCTGCAATCATCTTGTGTTTTCTGTAGCCCCATGGTGTGTTTGTTGCATAAGGTTATGGATATGAATATGTTGTTCCTTCAGATATAAGTGGCAGTGGCTGCTGTGTGTGTTTGTGAGTGAATTTAATTTCCCCTCTGTTAAGAAAGAGAGACCAGTGTGAACCATATTAATGGCAAACGTGCCTCTAGGAAAATCTTTTCAGACTGAAGTAACATAGTTGAAGTGCTGCAAGAAGAAATTCGGCATATACTAGAAAACTGAATAATATGTGAAAGGCACTAATGTAGTACAAGGTTGGCTGTGAGTTTGGCTGTTGGAGTTGATAAGGCAACAAAGATTCAGTTAAGTGTATGTTTCAGTATGAAAGCCTTGATTTGTAAGTTAGCAGATTAGCCACCTAGAGTGGTCATACTGACCAGATAGGCGGGATATAAATAAAATAAATAAATACAGTGGGGCCTCGCTTAACGAGCACTTCGTTTAACGATGAATTCGCGTAGCGATGACTTTTTCAGAGCGTTTTTGCGCTCCGTTTAACGATGGTCCCTATGGGCGATTTTCGCTTAGCGATGTTGGGACCATGCTTCGCATAACGATTACATTTTTGGGTCCCCTGTTTCGCTTAACGATGTTTTAAACAGCCTCATGTTTGCTGTTTTTTAAATGTTATAAATTTAAAGTTTCCTGTTTAAAATGTTTGAAATCATAAAGTGCACTTAATAAACCCTTTGTTAACCAAATTTGACTTTGTTCTGACTCTTTTAATTCGTTGTTGAATTTTTTTCCCCTCTTGAGATGCATTGAATAGGTTTAAATGCATTTCAATTGGGGAACTGCGTTTCGCTTAGCGATGTTTTCACTTAGTGACTAATTTTTTGGAACCAATTAAAATCATTAAGCGAGGCGCCACTGTAAATAAATAAATAAGGGTTGTAGGAAAAACCAACCTGTCAAATGTGGACAAGCATTAAGTAATGTCTTTCCAGTGGGGAAAAAACCCTTTGCCAATGAAACCTGGCAGACAATCTCTCTAGTCGATCCCTCCTCCCCATCCACCCTTGATGGCATTTCCTTGTTCTCTGAGCTGAACCAAAAAAAACCTGATTAAGAAGATGTTCTAGTCTTATGAAGCAGATCTTGAGGCTGTGTTCAGAGCCAAGGAGGAGAATTGTTCCATTTGTGTTGATTTGCTGCAGTGTAGTTACCTCATTGGGTCCCAATCATCGACAATACGTTTTATATCTTTTGAGTGAGAGCTACCCTATGCTACTTTCCAGTTTTTTCTGTAGTCTTTTTGTTATCGATTGTGATCCAGGTCAGTCAGATGAGATGTATATGTTCAATGAATTTTGTTTGGTATATTTCTAGCATAGTAACATATCGATGAGTAGTTCTGGAAATGTCATTTTTCTCTTAACTAAGTTCCTAGGCTTCAACAGTAGTGATTAACTGGGATCACAAGATGATGAGGGAAATTAAAGTAGATAAGACTTGTAAAGTTGATGCACTAAAAACATTCCATTTTCTTTGGAAAAGGGTAGCAATTAGTGTAGAACTTTTTTTTTATTTTGTGCATGTATTTTTTAAAAACTGTAGGAAGCATTTTCCAGGAAAATGTCCAATCATACTCTTAATTTCTTCAGAGTCCGTTCCATGGCACTCAAACACTTAATGTTTCATCTTACGGTTGATGAAGAGGTGAGCCTGAAGCGTCCACTGCTGCAGGGCAGTGTCCTTTCCAGCATTCCTAACTTATTAATTGTGGAAAAGCCTATTGAACTCAAGCTAAGTGATGCAAGAGAGTCAGTTTTTAAGGTAAACAAATATGCCTTTAGCATGTTTGATACTGCCCTCTCCTGGAAGGAATGAGAGAAACAAATATTTTTCTAGGGCAATAAAGATTTGTATTTGTTTCTCTTCTAGGCTGAGACAGTTGAAAAACTGTATGATATTTTTATCTCAGACACCATTGATCTAGTCTTGAGGAAGTCTGCAGCTGAGCAATTAGTTGTAATTATGCAAGGTAAAATCCTTTCTGTTATTTGCCAATATGTTACAGAGATACTGAATGTCATTGAGTATGTCGTCAATCCGATGGCCATGAAAAGCAAACACGAGGTATCCATGTGCTTAAGAACCCTAGGATTTTCAGAAGTATAAAGAAGGGGGGGTTCAGCTTGTTATTTTTATTTATTTAGCCAACCCATTTGCCATATTACTATTTCATTTGCCAAATGACAATTTGACGCTTGAACTCAGTAGTTAGTACAGTAGCCAAAGTGAAACTAATCACCAGAAGGAAAATCCAATAGTTATTTGTTAAGAAATGCTATTAAATGCATGACCTGTACTAAAGCAGTACTTCTTGTTGTAAAAACATCTCAAACAAAATCTTCATTGGCTCCAGAATAGCTATTAAAGTGAATGAATGGGCAAAAGGAGTGGTGGTGGTGGGAATGGTTGAATGTAAGGGAGAATTCACACTGCAACATTTTGTTGTAGATTTTATTTGTGATTCTTAAAACTGCTGGGAAGGGAATTCTTATTACTTATTATGAACAAAATATTTCATAATCAAATGCCATGTTGTTAGTATGTATGTGCCTCCATGCCTAGAGCTTGTTTCTTATTTCCTCTTTCAGATTCTAAAATGCATGACATTATAAAAAAGAGGGGTGTGATAGACAGAATACTTGCTTACTTTGCTGAATTTGTTGACCGGGATGGTGAGGTAATCTATATATATCATTAGTAGGATGCAACACTTTTCTCAGCATGCTCAATTATTATAAGCTTTGTAAAATTATGTTGGATAGGAATTAAATAGTTGGACTGGAGAAATATGCAGCTGCAGATTTGGCCAATTTCCTGTTTCTGCTTGGTTAAGAGAAAGAATTATTTTGGCTCTTATCCCTACATTGTGATTAAACATGTTTAAATCCCACATCTTCACTCCGTTTTAGTAATAAGTAACCAGTTACTGTAGTTCTATATCCAGTTTAGCAGACTTGCAGTTGAAACATAACTTCAGCTTTGCTGTCAAATAGCTCTCCCAGGTTTATGATTTATGTGTTCTACACTGATAAATTATCTTGATTTGATAGAATAATTATCCAGGTGTAATCATTATGTCCATGATAGCTGCAATAATACCAGCACTATAGTGCTATTTGTGATACATATTAACACAAGAGCATTGCAGGATTATTTGCGATGGAAAATGCCTGAGCAATTGCACAGTTGACATGTATTCCTTGGACCTTGGATATAACACCCAACAATATTATTCCTTTGTAATTTTCAATTACGTGGTGATGTACGGGATTTTATTATTTGTTTATTTAAAATATTTTTGCCCTGCCTTTCTCCTAAGAAAGGACCCAAGTGGCTTACATCATTGGGACACAGTATTAAAGCTAAAGATAGTGAATTATCCAAATGAATTAATAACATTAGATTAAGAATGTTAAGTAAATCAGTTATTCCATGGATTCTAGTCACAGTTTTTATATGAGCTATAATCTGTCCACAATAACCCAGCTAAACAATCCAGAAGATAGTTCATAGTTTATCTGCACCACACTGTTATAACAGTTTGATACTGCTCTATACTACTGTATGCCCATGGTTTTATTCTACTGAATCCTGGGATTTGTAGTTTGCTGAGAGATTCAAAATTCTTTGGTAGAGAGCTCTAGTGCTGCAATTTAGAGGAGTGTTCTAGCACTCTCTAGCAAAGAATTCTAAGTACCTTACCAAAATGCAGATCCTAGAATGGAGCCATGACAATTAAAATGGTATTGCAAAAGCAGTGTGGCATAGATGCAGTCTTTGTTAAACCATGCTTTCTGGTTCACACATAGAAGCAGGCCAGCTTCAGGTCAGCTATAGTGAACTTTATTCTTTATTCTTGTTTCATTTCATACGGCCCAGAGGGAAGGTATGGGTCCATGCCTTCAATCATGTTCCTGTCTTCTCATGTATGTAGTGCTGAGCTGTGACTTAAGTGTTACATTCACACTCTTGACCTCTGGTTTTAAAATACCTCTTGGAAGTTGGGATTTTGAAGAATTATTTTGAATGTATGTTTTTGATCTTCAGGCCTAACATATACAGCAAAGTGTCAAAATTTTAAAAATCCTATACAATTCAGTAGGGACGAAAGAAACCAATGTGTTCTGGACAGACCACAGCTGGTTAATGTAAATGTGAAATGAGAACTCTGTCTGACGTTATGTCTGAATTGCGGTAGTTATGTAGGAGGTGTTTACTTGTTCATATACACCACCAAAAATTTGGGGGAATCCCTGTCTTTTTATGTGGAGAGCTGATAAGCATCTGCTTCTTTGTTTTGAACAAATCTGAGCACACAAGGAAATCTTTCTTCTTTGCAACATTTCTGTTACCTAAGAGGTAATGGAACTTTATGATGTCTGCCTTTTGCACATCCTAGCCATGGAGATACTTCACTGCAGCAAGAGGAAGCAATTCAGTCTGTAATCTATGTCTCTGTTAAAATGAATTGTGGCATACTTCCAAGCTTTTGCCTGCATTGGCCTTTGTGGGGTTACAGCAGAGAAAATGCCATAGGATTGAAATGAGACAAGGTGGAAAATGTGCTGTAACATCTTTCTATTAGATTTACATTTTTAATTGAATATTCAAATACTGATATAGATCAGCTTTGATTTCTCTGGATCTGGGATTATAGACAGAGGGATCAAAGGCAGAGAAAAGAAACAGGACCATGCAGGCTTTTTTGAAGACACTGTAAAGTGCCCAAAGAATATTGACCCCAAAGAAGCAAAAAAGGGCTGGGGAAAGGTGGAATATACTGCACTGAGTTAGAGAATGCATAAACATTATTAACAAAAGTATTTTCTTTTTTGACAGATCATGGATTGTATGATGTTGCCATGTCTTACCCTTCTACGTAAAATTGTATATGCAGATCCTGTTAAACGTCTGTCTCTAGCTAACCAACCTTGTGTCTTGCTTTCGTTATTTAGAGGTAACTTTGTAAATGTAGCTTAAATATTATACGCAACCTTATTGATCCATAAAACAAAACTCCAAAACCCAGGGTATGCTGTTTTACGAGGACTGTTTAGGGCTTTTGATTTGATTAATAATGCTCCTTCAGCAGTGCCTTGCTAGATGATCATTAAAGAAGAGTGAAAGGTAACTCATCTGTTATAGCAGAACTGTCTTGAAAAAAAATAAGCAACTACCATAACTGGGAGTTGCTTTGACTCCCATTAAATTCACTTGGATCCATACTTTCCACTCTCACAATCTCTTCAGATTTCCTCTAGTAATGGAGAGCTACAACATCTCCCAAAACAAGGTGCACTGGAGGTAAACAGTGTTCACAAGGAAAGAAACTTCTGGAAGTGCAAATCACCTTATAAACAAGAGGTTTATTTCTGTGTATATTGTTTTAAAAATTAAAGTGATTTCCTCTTGTCATTGGTGCTGTACCAGAAATGGGTAATTGCCAAAATTTTCCTTTAAACAAAGTCTAGAGCATCTTGGAACTCTAATCTTCCAAGCACACTATATTTTAAAGGCAAATGCTGGCTGCTTCTTTGTGAATGCACACTAATGGGTTAATTCTGCACCTGCGCAGGATTCGTGGGAACTTTCTTGAGCTTAAAGTCATGCGTTTGGCAGGACGCATCCCCACTGTGTGCATACTCTACCCATCTGCAGAGCCCTGTAGTTCCTTTTTTCCACCATTGAGGTTAGACTACTCTCGATGCTGGAGCTGTGTTTTCTCCCCACTTTTTGCCTTTTGTGAGGTCACTTTTATCTAAACTTCTGCAATTTCAAAAGGACGCTTGTTGTGATTGCTCTTTCCCCCTCCCCTCCCCCTTCCTGTTTTTCCGCCGTTTTATGGCATGGGCGGGTCCTTCAAACTGTGCACCTCTGCAAACAAGATCCCCCTCTCAGGTGATCACAATCAGTGTCTTTTCTGTCTGGGAGAACATCAAACCCATTCCTGCCAGGAGTGCAAAAGACTCACTAAACTGGTGGTTAAAATTAGATTGTAACACCTCAGATCCTTCCTTTGGAAGCACTCTTTGAAACCCCTCACCAACAACCCTCACAATATGGATCCTACCTAGACCTTTATTCTGAGAGCAGACGCCTCTACTTCAGCTGAAGCCCTGTCATTGGCAACAACCCCAAAACCAGGTTTGTCTCATCCCAAGGTGTTGAACGAGCCTTCTTCATCAAACAAGCCTTCAAAATCAAAATCTTTGATGTCAACCCCAAAGGCATCCATGACCTCAAGACTTGTTTTCTCCTAAACAAAAGAGAAAGTCAGATGAGCCTACGAAATATGCACACAAGAAGTAGTCCAAGCAAACATCTAAAACTAAACATTAGCCTGAGGCTATGGTTGCTACCAATGAACTCCCATCGCCCATTCTTGAGGAATACTCCAGAGATGCCACTGGCATCAGCTTGGCATTGGAAGATGGCAGGCCACACTTGCCATCTTCAGGCCAAGTCTTGTCCCCAACTTTGACTCATTCACCTAATTATGGCCATGTTCAGGCTCATGCCTTTTCCAGCCCAGCCTTGCCCACACTAGCCCTCCATCTACAGGGCGGGCCACAGGTATTTAGCTGTCAGTTTTGGCTTCCATCATACAGAATTCACCATCACCTCAGAAGCATCTCACTAAGACGCACCATTTGTCCCCTTGCTATCTGCATCAGGAGACCTATAGGGCTTACAATCGTATCCGACCCCACCTGGAATATCGCGACACCCACTATGGAGACTATTGAAGAGCTTGGTGTCATCATGACTATTTGGACTTATGTCAGGAACCTTGGGCTTACAATCGTATCCGACCCGACCTGGAATATCCTGACACCCACTATGAAGAGCTTGGTGTCAACATGACTATTTGGACTTATGTCAGGAACCTGTTCCTTACTACTATGAAGAACCTAAGAGGGTTCACTATGCCTATACGTATCCCACTGGATCATTTTCGCCATCGCCACCTCATCCACATTCTCAGGAAACACAACCTGACTTGGTTCTGATACCGAAACCACTTAAGAGAGCTCCTCTAAACCCTCTGCCCGGACACCAGTTAACATTGAAGTGACCCTGCTCTTCCGCATCGGACCCGACACAGCCCACTCAAGTACCACCCTATCATAGATTAAATCTCCTTCAGTACAAGTCACAACAACATACAGAAGACCACCTCCTGCACTTCTCGAATCCAAGAGCATTCCACCAACTCAGCATGCATCCACGTTGAGTACTGCCCGAGCCTCCACGCTGAAGTCTCGACATTGATCTCATAACCCGGGATTCTCTTCTCACAGAGACAGTTCAAACACACTGTCCACTGATACTCTCAGTCCCCTTTCTGATAGGTCACTTGAATCTCCAACTTACCTTCCAACACCTGATTCAGATGTTGCTGATAATCACCCTCCCTCACCTTAGGATTTCACCTCTTATTTTCACTTAGTTCTTTAGATGACTAAGACTCTGGAGCTGGAAGTAGAACAGCCGTCTCCACCCACATGGGATCTGGTTTTTGACGATATCAGTCAAGATAAATCATCACCACTTAGTCTTGCCTTCATCTTGGCCATGTTCGCCCTTATCAAAGAATCGTGGGATAAGTCTTCTTCTCCATCTCAAGTATCCAGATGAGTAGAAAACCTCTGTCGTACTCATGGAGATGATACTACCTTCCTAGTAAAACACCTGCTGTCTAATTCAATAATTGTTGAATCCACACAGTCTCAAGCAAGAAATCGCCCTGATGTAGCCCCTACTAATAAGGAGGGCAGGAAGCTCGACATTCTTGGACACCACTTATATCCCATCATGTCTTTTGTTATGTGTGTCTCTAACTATCTGGCAGCAATGGGGGCATACCACAGACAGTTGTGGAACAAGTTTCTACCAGTATTACAAGCCACACCAGAAGAAACCTGTGCTGCTGGTCTTAATATCCACCTCAAAGCCACGACCTTGGCAAAGCAAGAATGTATTGCTACTCGCCATGTAGCTGATGCTGCTTCAAAGAGCATGGCCAAATCTATTACAGTCAGAAGACATGCATGGATTCACTCTGCTGGTAACACAGAGGATATCTGCTCATGCATTGAAGAGCTGCTTTTTGATGGTATTGGTCTGTTTAACAACAAAACTGATGACGTTATGGACAATCTCGACAAAATCCATAAGACAGCATGGTCTTATTCAACTCAGCAATACCATAGGTATCTGCACACCTAATGGCGCCAACCTCCCATCTACCAACAGCTGTATCAACAATACAAGCCTGTCTCCTTTGACAGATCATGTCCTCCACCTCACATGGCTCCTCAATATTATCAGTCCCAAGCTGCCAGACAGTGTCCATGCCAGCCCTTCTGCTGACTGGAGAGGAAAGCCAAGCAACATTTTTGACTCAGTCCCTCCCCAGATCCGCCTCTTCCCCATGCCTACACACTCTTGGCTGGCACCATTTTTCCACGCTTGGTCATGCATCATTCCTGGGTCTTAGCCATCATCGATCTGGCTACCTTATAGAATTTTCCAAACTTTCCCCTACAGGCCGATTACAACATGCAACACCATCACCCATCTTGGAGGATGAGATTTCATCACTCTTACAGAAGGATGCTATCCAGAGAATAGCCGTTGAATATTAAAATACAAGTTTCTACTCCCGATACTTCACAGTCTCCAAAAAGGATGGTGGCCTCTGCCCCATTATCGGACCTCAACAGGTACATTCAACCCAAACAATTTTGAATGGTCATTTTAGACAGCATCATTCCTCTTCTCTGCAGAAACAACTGGTTCATTGTCATTGACGTTCAGGATTCCTGCTTCCTCATTTCAATACACATGTACCACTGGAAATATCTCCACGTTACCATTCACAATGCCATATTTCAATTCAAGGCCCTTCCTTTTGGACTCTCCACCACGCCCAGGGTTTTCACAAAGTATCTTGGTGCATGTTTAGACTCTTATGCAGCCACGGTCTTTTTACCTTATGAGAGAATCCTCAAGCTCTAGAAGGCAGTATGCCCATTCTATCCTTTCGCTTCAGTGTCAGCTCACCAAACCCAACACCTTCTTGGGCTTATGGCATCAACTGCTGTAGTGGTTCAGCATGCCAGACTGAAGATGCATTGTCTTCAGTCTTGATACATATTTCTATTCAACGTTCAAACAGAACACTCTTCCAAGTACCTCAAAGTAATGCCAGAAACTGGCAGATAACTTACCTGGTGGACTTCACCAATCTTTCCATTGGTCATCCATTCCACTCTCTCCAACTCTCTGTCCAAATGACCACTGACGCAAGCCCCATAGTTTGGGGTGCACACTGCAACAACCACACAATGCATGCTTTCTGGTCAAAGAAAGAAAAACAGTTGCATAGAAATCACTTAGAACTACTGGCAGTGATCAAAGCCTTCCGTGCGTTCCAGTCTCTCATTGTGGGACACGGAGTCCAGGTGGTTACAGACAATATCACTGCCCTTTTTATATCAACAAACAAGGGTGCATTCACTCACTATCCCTTCTCCTCCTAGCAGTGCAACTTTGGTAATGGTGTTACACCCACCACGTCTTCCCAGTACAGTCCATGTTGCCACCAAAGGCAACACAGTGGCAGACCATCTAAGGAGACTCACCACCCAGACACACAAATGCTCGCTAGATCAAACTGTTTTCCTTCAGTTATGTCTCAAATGGGGCAACTCCACTATGGATGCGTTCGCCACAGAACACAACACAGAGTGCACTCAGTATTGCTCCCGGGCAGGAAGAGGCACTCACTTCCTAGGAGATGCCTTCATGATGCCATGGAACCCAGATCTTGTATACATGTTCCCTCCCATCCCTCCGATCCAGCAAACAAGTTTGTCTCCTACAAGAGCAAACAAATACTCTTCTCATAGCTCCATGGTGGCCATGCCACACTGAAAACAATATCTGATTTCTTGCGCCTCCTGAAATCTCACCATCTTCTGATGAAGCACGGCACTGTCACTCACCCATATCTCAAATCTCTCCACCTCACCACCTTAAGGATTCACCCACAGTGGCATCTGTACTCACCAGAGCGCGGAAGCCCTCTACAACAGAGCTGTACTTCTATAGATTGAGTGTTTTCAGTACTTTTGCACAGACTAATGTGCAAAAAGTGGACACACTTCTTTCCTTTCTTCTATAACTCTTCAAACATGGCCTGTCTCATTCTACATTGAAGGTCTACATTGCAGCTGTAGTAGTGCATCAACCTACAGGTTCAGAAGCATCAATCCTTCTCTCCCATCTGACTCTTAAGAGGTTCCTTAGAGGGCTCAAAACATTTGACCACCTCCAAAACCTCCGCCTCCTCAATTGTCTCTACAGCTGGTCCTCCATTATCCGACTCGTTCATCCTTCGAACCCCTGGCCACTACTCCGCTTAAGGTTCTTTCTCTTAAGACTTTGTTTTTGTTTGCTATCACATCTGCTCAATGAGCTAGTGAACTAGCAACACTGTGGGCAGATTACCCTTATCTGCAATTCCACCCAGATAAAATCACATTACATCTTAATGTCTCATTCTTACTCAAGGGTGTCTTTCACATCAACTAACCTATCATTCTTCCAACTTTGTTCCCATCACCATCCTCAGACTTGGAATGCATGCTTCACACCGTTGATGTGAAATGGTCTCTAGCATTTTATGTCTCTCGTACAGCAAATTTCTGCAAGTCTCCTCACCTATTCATATGTTACCAAGGACCAAACATAGGATGTCAGGCATCTTCCCAGATGCTTTCTCGCTGGACAGTTCAAACCACTAATCTGGCTTATGAACTGGCACATAAACCTTCACCAAGCTCAGTCAGAGCACACTCTACCAGAGCTGTCTCGAATGCACAGCTTTGTTGAGAGGTACAGTGGTGCCCCGTATAGTGACGATAATCCGTGCAGCAAAAATCGCTGCAAAGCAATTTCGTCGCTATGCGAAAATAAAAAGCCCATAGGAATGCATTAAAACCCATTTAATGCGTTCCTATGGGCTTAAAACTCACCTTTAAGCAAAAATCCTCCATACGGCGGCCATTTTCGCTGTCCGGTAAGCGAGGAATCAGCGTGAAAACACAACAGGCGGCCTTTTTTTTAACCTGGTGGCCATTTTGGAACCGCCGATCAGCTGTTGGAAAATCATCGCTATGCGATAATCGGTAAGCGAAACAGCGAACCAATCATTGCAAAGCAATTTTTTCTCATTTAAAACATTGCAATGTGATCGCTTTTGCGATCGCAAAATCTTCATTGCTATGCGGATTCGTCGTTAAACGGGGCGCCCGTTAAGCGAGGCACCACTGTATTGATATTTCACATATCTGCAAGACAGCTACCTGGATCAGTCCCTCCACGTTCATCTTGCACTATAGATTTGATGTTCAGCCCAAAAGGGATGCAAATTTTGGACAAGCTGTCTTGTCGTCTATTTTATAGTGATGGCCCACCTACTGGTAAGTCAGCTTGCAAATCACCCATTTGTGTGCATTCACAGAGGCCACGAAGAAGAAAGAGAGGTTACCTATCTGTAACTCTGGTTCTTCAGGTGGTCATCTGTGAATCCGTATGTCCCGCCTGTCCTCCCCTCTGTCCATCACATATGTCTCATCTTCTTTTTGACAGTGGCAGACTCTTTTTTAGGAAGTGAGGGGCTCTGTAGATGGGTGGAGCATGCACACTAGGAGGAAGGGTCCTGCCAAACGCGTGACTTTAACCTCAAGAAAGTTGAATCTTGCACAGGTGTAGAATTAACCCATTAGTGTGGATTCACAGATGACCACTCGAAGAACCAGTTACAGGTAGGCAACCTCTCTTTTTCCTCTTTCAAGTACATGAGTAGCTTACTCTGTTATCCATTCTTACAAGTAAGTTCTATTATATTTAATGGGACTTATTTCTTCTGAACTATTTATATAGCCTCAGTTTTCCTCCCAGAACTAGTTCTGTACACTTAAAAGATCAAGTTTCTTACTTCTGTTTAATTAAATTTTATCACTTAGTTTTGTGTATTGGGGGGGAAATAAATGATTTTGCTTTATATTTAGTTTCCTTGATATTCCAAGATCATGGTGCCATCCTGAGTGAAGCAGCAGCCTTACTTTGTCTACTACTGTTTGATGAAGCAGCAAGAAGAGAGATGTGGTAGGCTAACCTATGGTGATGATATTAATGTTCCTTTGTTTCTTTACCAAGTGAAATATGTGTTCTTCCTGATGTCAGCTGAGATGCATGTAAATTATAAATAAAGGTTAGGCTTTTGTCTGGTGTGTGTGTCTATGGATGTGCAAGTCCAGTATTATTTTATCACCCAGTATTGTCAGGAACAAAGGCAATGATTTTGTTCTTTGTCTTCACTGTAGATCTATTTCGGGAAGGAGGGAATTCATATTATTCATAAATGTATTAAATCTGTAAATAAGCTAAAACCCATTAAGTTTGGCAGCCCCAAGGTGTTCTTTCATATTTAATGCAAGGTTGCCAAGTGTTTTGCAGCCTTCACCCAAAGTAGTCCCACCAACAACATTCACTTAGAAAGCCAACTTAATAAATGACAAAAACTGTAACTAGATGTTTTGATCCGACACTAACTGCTACAGCATTGACAGTGTAATTTACAATAGTTTGATACATATTCCAGTGTGATCTTGTAGGTGCAGTGCACTGTGAGAAAGATTATGTTGTGTGTTTTTAGTGGTACTAAGGTAAAGGTAAAGGTTCCTGTTGACAATTTTTGTCCAGTCGTGTTTAGTGGTGCTAGTATTGTAAAATCCCTTTTTGATAACTTTTACTTAGAGGAACATATTTAATATTAAACAACTTCATTCTCTCCTGTATTGGCAGCCTGATCCTCAGCTTCTGCAGCTGATAAAGCTTTGGCCATTATAGTCCCATTTGTACTAAGGTAAAGGTAAAGGTTCCTGTTGACAATTTTTGTCCAGTCGTGTTTAGTGGTGCTAGTATTGTAAAATCCCTTTTTGATAACTTTTACTTAGAGGAACATATTTAATATTAAACAACTTCATTCTCTCCTGTATTGGCAGCCTGATCCTCAGCTTCTGCAGCTGATAAAGCTTTGGCCATTATAGTCCCATTTCAATCTGACGGCACAGAGCTAAAATTGCAGACTTGAGTATCAGATGTATATGCATTTGAGTGTTGGGAATGCATAACTTTTAAGTTATAGAGCAGTTTAAGTTCACACTGTTGATTAACCCATGAAGTATTTTCTTGATTCACCCGTTTTCTCTTTTTATAGGGCTGATACTGTTTCCTGTGATTCACATAATGTTCCTCCCTTTAGCTTGCCTGTTGCTATTGTGAGACGGTAAGTCTCTCTTTGTATCTGTTACAAAACACATCACTCGTGCTGTGATGGTAGCTTGCATTGGAAAGATACTGCTAATGCTTCTGGCATAATAGGAAATAATCCATAATAGAATAATCATACCAGAAGAGTGACCTGTGTGACTATATCAGGGTCTCTGCTGTAAATGAATAGTTTTTAAAAAACAAAGGAAAAACACCTAGTGCCTAGATTAGACTTGATGTTGTTCAATATTTAGCCATGATAGCTCTTCTCCTTCCTTAATCATGCAGTTTCACAATTTATAGGAGCACTGGAAAACGCTTGTTTTCAACATGTATTTTCAGTGCCAGCTTCCAGAAGTGCAGCCTAGCATGTAATTTGAATAATCTGGAGCATTAACATTTCTCCATCCCTAATGCCTGTGTTTCAGCTGATACAGTGCGTGGTCAGTTCTGTAACTTGGCTATGTTACACACAAGCACTACATGTTTCACAGGCACATTGTGGTATTACAAACACAAGTGCAAGGTGTTGGATTTCTTCTTTTTTAAAAAAACCTTGATAAATGGCTTGGCTTCTTTTTACTATGTTGCTGGAACTTTCCATCATGAATATAAGTTTTCTTGTGTTCCCAGAGCAAAATTGTATGCTCCATGTCAGATAACTTTTGTTTTTTCCATTACTAATTCTTAGAACAAACCCTTCATCTGTGATTGTAGCTAAGATATCAAGCCTGTGTAAAAAGACCCTTAGTGACTTCTTCATTATTTTATTTCCCTGAGAAGCCTGGAGCACATGAAACAAATGATTCATTCAGAAATATGTGAAGGTCTTTCAATTTAAGACAAGTTCTTGCTGTCGTCTTGTAAGACCAAACATACAAATATGTGTTTAACTTGTAGCGTTCAAGTCATGTAAAGTCATTAGGTTGACAGGGGAGAGCAAATGTAGATTTGTGTGGAAGGCATTTTCATGTGCACACAGTATAAAAATTTGATAATTTCCTGCTAAAAGAATTTTCTGGTGACCAGCAACAGAATAAGATTTTTATGTTCTGCTAATTTAGCTGATTTCTAAATGGGGCTAAGTAAGTGGTATAGGGCCATTAATGTAGAATTGCTGAAGTCTGTGTCTTTCAGTCCTTGGAACAGAAGACTGCTGTAAATTCCCTGTATGAGTGGGAAATGGCAAAAAAATACAGAAATCTTGTCTAAATCGTGCATTTACTTGTAAATTGATAGCTATCATCATCACATGTTTACAGTTTGTCAGAAGACAGAAAACCCCTTTAACATTTCTTATTTCTCTTTTTTCCTGTAAAGGTATCATCTACCTGTCAGAATTTCTGCTCATCATGCTGTGAGCCCTAACTCAGTGGTGTTACCATTTCCCTGTGAGGTGTGGGCTTCTAAACCTGTGTCAGGCATGCTTAAATTGGCTTGGAACTTATCTTGGTTCAGTGGAAGTGATAACTTACTGAAACTCACAAATTATGAGGCAGAAACGGAAAAGTAAGTTTCATCACATTAAAACTCCATGTGTTAGAAGCTAGAGCAGTGGTTCCCAAACATTTTGGCCCTGTGGCTCCCTTCATTTTCTGAATCCTGGCCTTGACTCCCCTTGCTTGGAGGGGCCTTCAAGGCTCTTTTTTCCACCAGGAGCAGGATCCTGAACTACCTAGCCATCCCATCTCTTCCTCCTCCTGGAATATCCCCATAGATCACTGAAAAAAAAAGGTCACTAATTTCAGACCTGCTCACCAGGTGGAATCCCTGATAGGAATATGCCGTTTGGTTTGTTTGGACTCCAAATCCCAGAATTCTCAAATAATTCCATTGGCAGAATTCTGAGAGTTCCAACCCACATATTTGCAGAAACCTTCATTTCATTCAACTGGACAAGTCAGGGCCTATATGCTGCAGAGTCTCATATTTCAGTTCTGGATGGTCCTGCAAACATTTTCTCAAGTGTCAATGAATTCTGGGAAGCATGAGAAATATCTGCTTCCTGACATCAGTGGCATTTGGGAATATACTTGTGGGACCATCTAGACCTTATACATGAGGTGTCTCTTGTCAGCCCATCTCCCTGCCACCTCATCCTTTACTCAGTCTGTTGGGGAGAGGTGATGGGAAGAAAAGAGTGTGTAGGAAAGTGATGGGACAGCTTCACCACAGCTGAAACCAAACCCAACCTATCATCAGGTAAGTTTCTTATGGGCCTCATCCAAATTCAGCACATGTTTAACTTGCCTTTGGCCACACATTTCAGAATCTACCTGAAAAAGCTGTCAATTGCTATATTTTGCTATGCATTATATATCCTGCAAGGTTGTAAATAAAATCCTTAATACTGTTAGGAAATACAGTTTTCATAATTGCTAACAAATAGAAGACACATTTAAAATCATAGGCATAATAATATTTGTTAAACTAACTTCTTTTTTACATAAAAATATTGAAAGTTTGGAAAGGAGTAATGTTGACACTCCTTTGATGAGAGAAGAAAAATGAAAACATGAATTGCTTCATTAGCTAGTTCCGTTTTTAAAAAGGTTTGCTTAATTATCCTTTTAATTTCTTTTTTACATTTCAGATTTTTAGACACATTAAAGCTCTCCTCAGAGGATCTTATTACACTGAGGATAACACGTGCAACCAGTGGAATGCAAGACTCTCTTAATTCCATCATTCAAGCTGTTTCCCACAGGGAAGTAAGAGATGCTGTCACAAGAATGAATTTTTATGTTCTGAATGACAGGCTGGCATTCACGTGCAGCAGTGGCCCTTGTGGGGCCGCTTTGAAGTGCTTGGCTTGGCAAACAGCATTAAGCAGGTCAGTATGTAAGTGCAACATACCTAACAGGATACAAAGCCATCTGTCACAGTAGATTTGGCTTTGAAATGTTCCATTCTCTTTGGAGTTGTCTTAAACATTTGCTACTGGAGCAAGTAACTTTGAAAGTGGCAAACCTGTGTTTAGCAGTAAGAAAGGGCAGAGTTCTCTGGTGAATAGATTGATAGAGACTAGAATGAGATGCTATAAAGTATGTGTGGTCAGGCCTGTTTGTCTTCCTATAATTGTTTGTCTGCAATTATAAAATATATATAAAATCATCAGCATAATTCCCCTCTTGGTTTAATTTTATTAACTGCCTTGCATCCTGATAAATGATGTCCAGTTTCCAGTAATATGTCCTGTATAGTTCCTAGATAGAACATCAGTTAGTATTGATAACGTCAATACCAATTGAGAGCCACCTGGCACCCTCGCTGGATGGGTTTAAATGAGCATTGAAGACTTGGCTCTTCTGCCAGGCTTTCCCTGAGCATTAAGATCTTGGACTCCCTTTTGCCATCTTTTTTGCCATCCTCTCCATCACCCTTTTTGCCACCTTCACTGCCATCTGTTTTAATTTATCCTGTTGGCTATGTATTATTTTATTTTTATCGTGTTTTAATATCGCTGTTTATATTGTTGTTATTAGCTGCCCATAGTGGCCTGGTTGCCAGATGGTGCGGGGTATAAATCTAATAAATAATAAACATATTCATATATCTCTAGGAACAATTTGGAAATGTTAACTGCTGGGTAGCTCAGTGATTTAGGTATCTGACTATGGAGCTAGAGGTTGGGACTTCAGTTTCCCATTGTGCATCCTCGATAGGGGTTGTACTTGATGATCCATAGGGTCTCTTCCAGCTTTGAGGTTGTTGTTGTTGTTACTTTTTTTGACTATACCTCCTATTGACCCATAGTCCAGAAAGTTCATTTTTCCAAGCACCTTTTCGAAGGTCTGGATTGGCACTTTGTTTGTTTTGTCCTGCCGTTCTGTACATTTTGGGGTTCTTCAGATCCCCACTAGTCTGCTAAAGTGTTACCTGGCTTTGCAGCTTTGACTTACTGATCTTTTCTCAGTGTTGCCAAAGTCTTGCATTCAGCCACTTTGCTTTTCTCATACCTTCTCTTGCTATCTGTTTTCTGTTGCTAGCTCAGTTTATAATATGGAGTGGAATGAAGAATGTGAGTCTTACATTATAGTAGTGAAAAAACACATAATTATTGCTTGTGCTGTAGGTTTCTTCAGGTGCTTCCAGCTTCCTCTGAGGATGAAAAACTTCTGGCTGATGTCATATGTTTTTTAAACAAGCTTCTCAAGGAACAGAAAAATATTTCTGAAGCAGAACACCTGAAATGGATCCTTGATGTACTCCTGAAAGACGTAAGGCCCTCTTTGGTAATTAATAAATTATTAAATTAGTAAGTGCTAGTAACAAAACTAGCCAGGGCTCTTTGCCCCTTCTTCCCAGTGTTCATAGTAGCAGATACACCATTTGCACCTCAGCTGTTTATCAAAATTGCTACTGCTGTTACTACTTCTAATGTTGTTAGTTTGGCCTGGGTTCATGTTTGAATTTAAGAGACTGCTTTCTGAAAATAGTCAAAATAATTAGTCTGTCCAGCTGCATTACCATCTACTCCAGTTGACTGGAGTCTTGAGTCATCTGATTAGGCAAAACTCTGGTTTGATCCTAGAGGGATTAAACCGATGTTCATAATTTAATTTCTGCTCTGAAACAGCTATTGGATTCAGAGAGCTTAAACAGATGGACTTTTGATAGGTAGAATTCCTACAAAGGTCTTTGATAAAGAAGCATTGAAGGCCAGGAAACTCTTTCTAGAATGCTCCAGTTTGTGGGCTTGATCCAAATTAGGATGATTGAAATAAGTGCAAACAGCCCATATTGTAAAGCAAGCCCTAAAGGCTGGGCTGCAGGAATGTTTTACATGAAGAAGCATTCATATTCTTGCTATTAGGATTTGTTTTGTAAAAGTGTAAGGGATTTCAACAATCAACAGATATCTAGAATCCAGAAAAGCACAACGAATCGTCTGGTATTAATGGCTGCCCAGGACAAGTATTAATCAAAGAAGGAAAAAGAAAAGGGGGGAAATGTCCAGAAAACACTGCAATAATAAATCACATAAGATGCATGTTCACAAAACAAATCAAAATTTCCTCTGCAAAATTTTCTCATGCAGAGCAAATCAGGTTTTCTTAGCCAAAAAAAATGCCATTTCCACTTGAGAAGTGTTGCATGTATGTCACAGAATGGCTGCATCAAATGCAGTTCTGTAGTGAATATGTTATGGGTAAATCACTAAGAAAAACTTTTTAAAGTTTGGAATAACAAACTACATTTTGTAGTGGCAACCTAATTAACCAGTGTTTTGTGAGTAAATAATAATTATATTCTGATGATGTTTCACTGATTTTCCCATACAGAATTCAAAATCTTTGCTAGATCTTATAGTGCAACCAGAATCCCAGGCACAAGAGGAAATAGATGATCTAAAGACTGCTGTCAGACAACAGCTACAGAAAGAATTGATTGCTTTCTTTAATATACTTCTGGTCAGCTTCATGTCCATCACTGACAGGTATATCGTAAAGGAGTTGTCCATATATGCCAGCAATACAATGCAATGGTCAGATTGGTAAACTGCACCAGATCCCTCAGCTTCCTAAGGTGCAGCAGGTGTCAAGAACGAGTACAACCTTTTTGTGGACTCACTGTGCCCCTACATTAGTATAATTTCTTTGGAACCTGGCTATTTGAGAGTGCCTTTAAATGAGAAAGTATCTCTTCTGAGGGTATGTGAATGCTTTCCCTATTTGTCATCAACTTTATCGACTGCTGCTTGCTGTTGTGTTTATTTCTTCAGTTGAGTTTTATTATGATGGTGATTCAATACATTTTGCTGTGTTTTTTATTATTGTTGTTGTTGTTATAAGCCTCCTTAGAGTTTATTGTAAAAAAAGGTGGGATATAAGATACAAATGTATAGATAGATAATAGATATGAGTATGGATATAGATATTGGAGGAAAATTTTGTTGATTTCCTTTAGTCAGCAGAGTATATAGAGAAAAAACACAGCTGCAACACAGAGGAAATGTGAAGAACAATAGCTAAAAGTTCAAATTTCCACCCAACCCTTTTGTTATCACAGGTGACCTTGCCCTTTGTACATAAAAGTCACTGCATGAGTAACTAACTATAAGTAGGAAATAAAACCATATTTACTTATAGTTGTTCATCAGTTACAATCAGAGGTATTAAAGAAAAACACCAGGATCGTTCATGCGGAAGACCAAATCCACCATGCTGGGTGCATGGTCTGGAGGTCTGAGTTACACGTCTGCTTTTGTCGAAAGTCAGAGAGGAAACAAGCCATCAGAAGCAAACAAACAGGACGAGGGGCGGGGGCTTGCCTCAAGCCTGGGAAAAATGAGTTTGCTGATTTGTTGGTGGCAAGGCATAGTTATGTTTGTGAAGTCCTCTCCCACTAAAACCCAGTGTGCATGCAAGATTGTTAGTTTTCTCTAGCAAAAGATACATTTGAAAATTGTATGGGAAGTTGGCTTAGAATATCAACCTTTGGACCGTGCTCCGTGGAATGTGGTAGAATATGGCTTATTTTTACAGAATCCTGTTTTTCTTCCTTTTTTTGAAAACGTATTAGCCTAGTTTCTGGATTTCTTTTTTTCCTCATGCATGAGCAACAGACAAGTCATGGGCGGTGACTTGTTTTGCTATGGAACTCCTGTGCACTGGTAGACAACCCAAGCATATTGTAGGGTGGATAACATGTAGCCCTGTAGGAATTTGAGATTACTATTCCCATAATCCTTTTTTTCCCCACACACCTGTTGTCAGACCATCACCCTGCCACCTTATCCTTTGCTCAATGGGGTCTGTTGGGGAAGAGGCGATGGGGAGAAAAAAGTGTGTAGAAAAGTGATGGGACAGCTTCACTACAAACCCAACCTAACATCAGGCAAGTTTCTTTTGTGCCTGAAGTCCAAAATACTTGGTAGATGAAAAGTTGTATTGATATTGAGAGTATACCCTGAAATACATCTAACATTTCAGTAGTGCTGGGTAGCCTGAGATAGGTTCCAGAGCCTCTGCTTTTTGTTTGATATGAGAGGGCATCAAATAATAAGCCAACTTTTGTTGCCCAGGAAAGGCAGGGGGTCATATAATACAGATCTTTGCTTTCAGTAGAGTGCCAGTATTCCCCCTTCCTATCACTCAGGTAGTTGGTCCTTTTTGACCATGATAATGTATCTTGATTTGCTTCAATATCTGACTTAAATCCTATGCCTCTCCAAATGACTTTTTAATTCTCTGCCTTAACTCTCTAAAACAAATCCTTTTTTTGCCTAATGAGCTTCTTGTTTATTTCTATACTTTTCTGATTGAGTTCCAGAGACAAGGCCTTCTCACTGGTTATCTCACTTCTAGGGAATTCTCTTATTTATTTTATTTGTTTACTGCTCTTATATACCACCCATATAGTGTCATGCCATTCTACACATGCATATATGGCCTCATCTGTACCTGTCTTGAAACACTTCTATTTTGCATGGCATTCTATATATTTATTTTGCATGGCATTCTATATATTTATTTTGCATGTTGGTTATGGCATTCTGGCACATTCAGCTGTTCTTTGTTGGTATATTTTGGTTACTATCTGTTTACAAGCAGGCTCTTTTATAGGCTACCCTTGGAGAATATTTTGCTCTGAAAAGTGGGATGTAATTTATACATTTACTATAGGAGTAGTAACTGTCTGCTGTTTATGATCTTTTCACTCAGGAGCCTCTTATGAGCTTCTAAGGAATTCTAGGGTTTCCTGGAACAAAGTTTGAAAATAATTGTTCCAAATTCATGATACAGTCAGATTTCCTGAACTCACTCCAGTTGTTTATGGCTGAGTAAACACCTTCTATATCACAGGCAAGATAGCTTTCTTGGTTAAACTAAAGATCACTTAAGCATTCTAATATAAGTCATGTGAACTACACGTTCAAATGATCAATTTTGCTGTACTGTAAATCAGCTGATGTGCAGTGCTAGAACCATCCATCTTCTGTTTGCTACAGAAAAGACAAAGAACGTACTGGCTATTTCCGAACAGAACTAGCCCTGAAACTTCTGCAGTACCTTCGAGTAACAGATGCGCCCCATTTCTATGGATTACCTTCTTTGGAAAGAACATTAAGAGGAATGGTTCACGTCACTGCATTTCCAGGCTGGAGTTCATACTCTGTAACAATGGAGCCCTTCATGATTTGTAAAAAATACCTAGCAGGGCTTCTTGAGGTAAGTGAATTAGGACTGGTTTTAGTGTGATTAGACGACAAATTAATGGTGGATGAAGGCCAAAATGTCTCTTGTGAATCTGATAATCTCATGAGACAGCAATTCCTGGGAAATTAGGTGTGTGCTCCCTAAACACAATGTTTTGCAGTGGAATGGCAAATGGTATATGTTTTCATTACATATTCTAAAAATAATAAAGTTGTTGAAAGAGTACCTTATATGAAATAGTATATGACTAAATAAAGTTACAGGATTTTTTCATGAAAGTAACCTTCTAGTCCATTGCTAAAAAAAATCTAGCCAAGAGGCAGTATTGGTGGTGTCATAACAAATGCAGAAATATATAGGGTACATATCCTGCCATGCTAGTAACAACATTTTTGTTAATCTTGCTGAGTTTATATAGGAGATGGCTAGAGCGCAGGTGGAGGAAATCCCGCTGGGAGTCTGATCAAACACAACTTAGAGCCCATTATCGGGCCTATTTTGTGGCAATACGGCTGGCAAAACGGCAATATTTCTCCAGCCGTATTGCTTCCTCAGAATGTCGTCCAGCAGAGCTGTTTCGGGTGGTCCGGGATCTTCTTCAACCGGGAAATCCAGTGGAGGTCCTGGACTGCTCATCAGCTCGCTGTGATGAGTTTGCCATCCATTTTGAGGGGGAAATCGCTCAAATTCGCAGTGGGTTGGACTCCACAGTTACTGCAGAATCAGAGGATGTGTCCAGTGCGCCGTGCTTAGGTCAGGTATTAATGGATGAGTTTCAATTGTTGAGGCCTGAGGATGTGGACAGGGTGCTTGGATCTGTCCGTTCTACCACCACTCCGCTCGACCCTTGCCCATCCTGGCTAATTGGAAGATCAGACCTTTCGGTTCACACCTGGGTCCTCTTTGAGAGAGGGAGTGGCCCCTACCGCCCTGAAAGAGGTGGTAATTCGACCACTCCTTAAAAAGCCTAACCTGGACCCAAGGCTGGTGGCTAACTACC